AATGTTTCTTTCTTCCTTCTGGCCCAAACCATTGATTTGAGTTCTGGTTTCCTTCCCATCACTGCTGGTTCCCTGTACATTTTCCTTTATTTCACTTAGGGTAGCCTTCATATTTTCATCTAATTTGTGACTGTATTCAATCAGTTCTGTGAGCATCCTGATCACCAGTGTTTTGAACTGTGCATCTGATAGGTTGGCTATATCTTCATCGCTTAGTTCTATTTGTCCTGGAGCTCTGATTGGTTCTTTCATTTGGGCCATTGTTTTATTGCCTAGGTGTACCTGTTACATAGTAAGGATTGGAGCCTTAGGGGTTCACTGGGGCGGGGCAACCCATGTTGCTGTGTTGTGACACTGTCTGTGGGGGAGGGGTCCAAGAGGGAATGATGGCACTTGCTCTGCTCTCTGCCAGTTTTCAGTCACTCCCCCCACTTCTGGTGCTGATTCCCGGGTAGGTGGGCTTGTGTACATTCTGGGACACTGTTGGCCTCTCCAATGAACTCTCCTGTGAGGCTGGGAGTTTCTCCCACTGCTGCCTCAACCACCACAGGTGTGTTCAATCAGGGAGTCTGAGGCTTTATTTCCCCAGATTGATCTCTGGGTTGTGTGGTCTATCTTGCTCCCCAGTTGTTCCTCCTGGTTTATCTGCATGCAAGTGTGGGACCACCCAGTCTGAAATCTACCACCTTGCCAGTCCAAGAGCTGCCAAGCTGCCTGCCAGCAGAGCATCCTCTCCACCTGGCCACCCAACTACGCCCCTCCTACTGGTCTGGATGAACATTCCTTCTTTAACTCCCTGGTTGTCAGACTTCCACACAGCTCAATTTTTTGTCCCTAAACCTGTTGTCTTTCCCTTGATTGTGGGAAGATGCACAGTGTGTCCACCTACACCTCCATCTTGGCTGGAATTCGCAAGTGATCAAAATACTATTTACTTGTAAATGAAACAAAGATATTTCCCCCCTTTTTAATTTCAAGTGGATATTAAATGAGAAATTTTACTCACTAACCAAGAAAATAATGTATTTATCTCATGCAACTGATGTGATTCATTATATTTATTTTTGGAATAATATTTGTTATAGGGTGAATTTATATATACAGTTTTCTGTAACTATTCAGATAAGTCTAATATATACATATATGAAGTAATATCATCAATATTAATTAAACTGCATTAAAAAGCTGAAAAGGTTTTGAAATCTCTATTGCCCACAGAAACAAAACAAAATCTGTGCAAACAAAAAACCCCTGCATTTTCTACTACTCTCTAACCCACAGGAATAGGACAAGTTTAACTGCAGTTACATTTTTGGTTCCCTATCCAAACATTCATTTCCTCCCTACTCCTTGCTAAAAGAACAGTGATTTTCTTCAATATCCAGCAGCTACTTAGGAAAAAGTTCATCTTCTCTCCAGACTCAAGGTATAAATCTTAAAAAAAATTTAATGTTTCATCTTAAAATAACTTTAGGCTTACAAAAAAGTTATAAACAGAACAAAGAATACCTCTATACCCATTATCACCCAGCTACTCAAAATGTTAATATCTTGTATAACCATAATTATCAAAATCAAGAAATTATCACTGATGCAATACTACTAACTAATCTGTAGGCCTTATTCGAATTTTACCAGTTGTCCCTCTAAGATCATTTTTCTGGTCTAGCATCCAATTCAGAATCCTCCACTGTATTCAATGTTATGTTTCCTACAATCTGGGACAGTCTCTCTTTCTTTGTCTTTCACAGTCTTAACACTTCTGAAAAGTACTGGCCAGTTTTACTGATTGTCCTGCAACTTGAGTTTGTCTCATATTTCCCACGATACAATCTGGCTTGTGTATTTTTGGTAAAAACACAACAGAAGTAATGTGTTCTTCTTGGTAAATTTTATCAGGAGGTACAGGAGATTGACATATCCTATTACTAGCGATGTTAACTTTGAACATTTGATTGAGATGAAGTCCGCAAGGTTCCTCCAATGTGATATTACGATTTTCCCTTTACAATTATTAATTATCTTCTGGGAGATAAATTTTGAGTAATTTGCAAAATTTACAATTACTGTTTTTCATCATACTTATACTAGTTTTAATCTCAATAATGATTTTTGCCTTCAACAATTATTGCTGTCATTTTTGCCAAGTAGAGATTTTCTATTTCTGACATTGTTTCTACATTTAATTAATTGGATCTCTAAAAAAAGAACTTTCCATTTATTCCATGGGTAGAATAATTCATTATTATCATTATCTTATTGTTGTCCTTGATTTTGCCATTAGGCGGGTTTTTTAAGTTCCCTTCTAATTTTTGCAACATACCCCATTACCTTTTGAACACTTCTTTATTTTCTGACACAAGATGTTCCAGCTCATATTGTACTTTGCATACCCTCAAGTCCTAACGTGACCCAATTTTCAAAAAAACCTTGATTTCTTTTACTGGTGGATCCTATTATAGAAATCAAGATTGGGGCCTCTGGTGTGCTCATTACTGCTGAGAATCACTGTTTTTCTAGGTCCTCTCAGTGGATCAGGCCTAGACCATGTATGCCCTCTCACACACAAACACACAACTATATTTTTGTATGTATTCATCTATATATTTAAAACCATGAATTCATACTATTAACTACCATTCCTAGCCAGCTGTATAGGATTCATTCTAGCATTCTCCTTTTTCTTACTGTAACTTCTTTCTCCTGTGAAAAACAAGGCTCTCATTATCAATAAAGTGTTTACTTATTTGCTCAGTTCTACAATACATATAAAGCACAGTCAGAATCTTTATTAGTCTAAGCAAATCATGTTAATTTCCTTTGCCAGGCACTGTTTAGGAATGAGCACATAATAATCATCAGTGAGTCAAATGTAAGTCTGCTGGGGGTTGTTTCTGGCAAATTTTTAATTAGTAAAAAGCCACATATAAAGGTCCTGCAAGTGATAACTAGAATGATGATGGCCATCTTGACATTTTACATGTCAAGGATGAAGGCTTATGTCATGAGTGAAGGCTAACAGCACAAGCTAGAGCACTAAAAACGACAGAGGAGAGACAGAAATAACCTGAGTCTTGGTGATTTTTCAGTCACTATTAACCAGTCCTAGAATCTCCTGACTTTGGGCCTTTTATGTGAAAGAATGTTTTCCTTACTGTAAAAGTCACTTCTGGTTGTTTTTTCCCCCACAGGAAGAAATTATTCTAACTAATAAGATACATATCCTAAATGTACTACTCAGAAATAACTTAATTTCTTCCATAAGTAAAGAAACAACCCTCCGTGTGGAAACTAAACACAGCTCTACCACAAAACCAGAGAAATGGATTATTCTATGGGTAAGGATGTTTAAAAAAATAAACATCTTTAAGGTAGGAAACATATATATACTTTCCAAAATGCAAAATATTTAGGTATAAAGAAAAACTGCAGTTTTCATTTTCAGATTATAATGGAAAAAACAGCTAGGTGTGTTTGATAGGTTCTTGGTAACTCTACCTTTGGTTAGCCTTTGGAAGCTTTAGAAATATTAAGTAACTCAATAAATGATGTATGGCATACATACAATAAAGCAAATGCAGTATTAGTCATAATGACATTAATTTTTGTTATAACTAATAATATTCTACTACGAGCTCTGTTTCAGATTCCTGAATGTGGAAGCTCTAAAGAACCACAAGTAAAAATCTGCTCCTGACTAAAAAAATCAGATCTGATTGTGGGCTTAACAACCAAAGCAATTCAGAATTGCTGGTAATTTTAAACAAATTAAAGGGGTCTAAAATATTTAGTTCTATATCTTATATGAACTGAGAAATCATAGAATTATTCTGCCCTCCTTCTTGTAGTATCTTAAGTTCCAGGTGTTAATCATAGTTGAGAAAAGAATGCTGTTGACAGATCAAAATGATTTTATAGATCAGTTCCCATCTTAATAGATACTTCAAGGAAAAAGGTCAAAATTATATTAAAATGAAATATTAAATATATGAAAATATGAAGTAAGGCCACTCAAAACTAAGTTATCCTTTTTACTTTAAAAGTTTGAAAGTCTATTTCCTTTGCCAGATTGGGGAAATTCTCCTTTATTATTTGTTCAAATAAGTTTTCTGCTGGTGGCTGTTCCTTTCCCCCTTCTGGTACCCCTATAATTCGGATGTTGGAGCATTTAAAGATGTCCTGGAGGTTCCTAAGACTCTCCTCATTTTTTTGAATTCTTGCTTCTTCACTCTTTTCTGTTTGGCCATTATTTGCTTTCTTCTGGTCCACTCCCTTGATTTGAGTCCCAGTTTCCTTTTCATCGCTATTCGTTTCCTGTGCATTTCCCTTCATTTCAATTAGTTTTGCCTTCATGTTTGTCTAATTTGTGGCTATAATCAACCAGTTCTGTGAGGATCCTGATCACCAGTGTTTTAAACTGTGCATCATCACCAAGCCCTTATTATATGAAATGTTAAAGGGACTTATCTAAGAAAAAGAAGTTAAAAAAACATGAACAGTGAAAGGACAGCAAAGTCACAGTTATTAACAACCACACCTAAAACAAAAGCAAACTAAAAGGACAGCTAGATCAGGAGTGGAAACATAGAAATGAAGATCACATGGAGGGTTAGCAATAGGGGAGTGGGAGGAGGAGAAGGGGAGAGAAGGTACAGAAAATAAGTAGCATAGACAGTAGGTAGAAAATTGATGGGGGGGCAAGAATAGTATGGGAAATATAGAATCTAAAGAACTTGAGACACATGGTCATAAACTAAAGGGGGGTTAATGGTGAGGGAGGGGTGTGCAGGGTGGAGGAGAATGAAGGGGGGAAATAGAACAAATGTAATGGCATAATCAATAAAAAAATTAAAAAAAAATTAAAGTTTGAAAAACTTGCTGTCAACTAGTCACACTAAGAAAAGCTAATTTCCCTATAAATAAGACAATATGGTCAAACAGGACAGCAGTTATAAATTCTTTTTATAAATAAGACATGAGAGTCATATATTGATACTTACAAAATACGTTCCTTTTTCAGTTTGATTACTTTCATTTGTAAACCTGTAAAGTGAAAAAGAAAAAAAAATGGTGTCTTATTTACACATTTTAACAACTCTAAAGCAGTTAATCTAAGTCTCTTCATGAGTTTAATGCTACTACTATTAAGTCACTTGAGATTGGCCTCTGAATAATGAGCCAGGTTCCATTAGTTTGAAGAAAGTTCTTTCCCTTACTGATATACCCTGAGGTCAAGAGTATATCTGTAACATTATTGTTTTTACTCTACTATATGGCAGCCAGCAAGAGTGAAATTTTCTCAACCTAAAGTGAGTTGCTTCCTTTCTAATCACAACAGCAAGCATATAATTAGAAGATAGTATAAATGAAGGTCTATGTTCTGACATAGCCTATGTATTTGCTAACAGCAATAGTGCTTATGTAGGCTCAAGTCTTCTGGGATTAAAATAGATTGTGGCAGGAAGTCCTGGACTAGACGCAAAATTATTTATGAAAAGTACTTAACAAAGGGCACTGTTTTTATCTTTGGATATGTTGTATGTATTTTTAATTTTAATCGAGTCTGACACAAAACATAAGAGAAGACCACTGCCTATGGAACTTGGGTAGTTACTGTGAGGAGAGCAGGCAGATGGCATTGAAATAGCAAGGAAGATACAGACAAAATAAAATAACATTTCAAATCTTCAGAAATAATAATTAAAAGGAGAAAAACAGCCACTGAACAAAATAAAACTATATCCAACACCATTGCAACCAACCCAAACAAAAAGAAATTACTTAACAAAATTTTAATACCCAATGCTGACAAAAGTGATGTAAAACTACATTCCCGTATTTTGCTAGATATTATAAATTGAAACGATTCTTCTGCAAGCAATTTAGCAATATATAACAGGACTCTGTTTTTTTAATCAATATCTCACATCTTAGATTCTAATCTAAGAATATAATTCAAACTATAGAGAAACTCAGTCACAAAGAATAGTAAACAATTTATGGCAATATAAAATGTGTAACTGTAACATGCTTAAGTAAAATATGATATAACCACTTGATAAAATATATACAGCTATAAAACCATTAAATAAAAAAAAAATTAGGGCTTCCAGCCAAGATGGAAGCATGGGTAGACACACTATGCCTCCTCATACAACCAAAAGAATAACAGCAAATTTAAAAACAAAAAACCCAGAACTGACAAAATCAAGCTGTGTGGAAGTCTGACAACCAGGGAGTTAAAGAAGTTAAACATTCATCCAGACTGGTAGGAGGGATGGAGTCGGGCAGCCAGGCAGAGAGGACTTGCAGCAAGGCAGCAGCTGGTACACTGGTTAGGCAGTGGATTTCAGACTGGGTGGTCCCACACTTGCATGCAGATAAACAGAGGAACTACTGGGGAGCGAGATACGCCACACAACCCAGAGATCAAGCATGAGAAATAAAGCTGCAAACCTCTGATTAAACACACCTGTGGGGGTTGAGGCAGCAGAAGGAGAAACTCCCAGCCTCACAGAAGAGTTTATTGGAGAGGCCAACAGGGTCCTAGAATGTACACAAGCCCACCTACCCGGGAATCAGCACCAGAAGGGTCCAATTTGATTTAGGTTAGTGGGGGGAGTGACTGAAAACTGGCAGAGAGCAGAGCAAGTGCCATCATTCCCTCTTGGACCCCTCCCCCACAGACAGTGTCACAACACAGCAACATGGGTTGCCCCGCCCCAGTGAACCCCTAAGGCTCCAATCCTTACTATGTAACAGGTACACCTAGGCAATAAAACAATGGCCCAAATGAAAGAACCAATCAGAGCTCCAGGACAAATAGAACTAAGCGATGAAGATATAGCCAACCTATCAGATGCACAGTTCAAAACACTGGTGATCAGGATGCTCACAGAACTGATTGAATACAGTCACAAATTAGATGAAAATATGAAGGCTACCCTAAGTGAAATAAAGGAAAATGTACAGGGAACCAGCAGTGATGGGAAGGAAACCAGAACTCAAATCAATGGTTTGGGCCAGAAGGAAGAAAGAAACATTCAACCAGAACAGAATGCAGAAACGGGAATTCAAAAAAATGAGGAGATGTTTAGGAACCTCCAGGACATCTTTAAACATTCCAACATCCAAATCATAGGGGTACCAGAGGGAGAAAAGGAAGAGCAAGAAACTGAAAACTTACTTGAACAAATAATGAAGGAGAACTTCCCCAATCCGGCAAAAGAAATAGACTTCCAGGAAGTCCAGGAAGCTCAGAGTCCCAAAGAAGTTGGACCCAAGGAGGAACACACCAAGGCACACCAAGGCACATCATAGTTACATTAGCCAAGATTAAAGAGAAGGAGAGAATCTTCAAAGCAGCAAGAGAAAAGGAGACAGTTACCTCAAAAGGAGTGCCCATAAGACTGTCTCTCAAAAGAAACTGATTTCTCAAAAGAAACCTTGCAGGTAAGAAGGGGCTGGAAAGAAGTATTCCAAGTCATGAAAGGCAAGGACCTACATCCAAGATTGCTCTATCCAGCAAAGCTATCATTCAGAATGGAAGGGCAGATAAAGTGCTTCCCAGATAAGGTCAAGTTAAAGGAGTTCATCATCACCAAGCCCTTATTATATGAAATGTTAAAGGGATTTACAAACTAAGCAAACAACTAGAATCAGAGAAATGGAGATCACAGAGAGTGTTATCAGCAGGGGAGTGGGTGTGGAGAGAAGGGGAAAAGGTACAGAGAAGAAGTAGCATAAATAGTAGGTAGAAGATAGACAGGGGGAGGTAAAGAATAGTATAGGAAACGTAGAAAAGCCAAAGAACTTATATGTATCACCCATGGACATGAACTAAAGGGGGGGCCTGGGTAGGAGGGGGTGCACAGGGCAAAGGGCAATAAGGGGGGAGGATGGGACAACTGTAATAGCCTAATCATTAAACCATATTTAAAAGAATTAAGTCTATTTAGTAACACAACTATTTGTTTTCTCTATGCTATTTTCTGCAATGTGATTATCATAGAAGGGGGAAGCTTCTGTGTACTTTCTCTGGTACCCAGACCAATTTTTTTACTATTCCACAATTTGTCCAGTTGTGGTGAAACATAGCTTGGCAGCAGATCCCTGCCCCTGGGCAAAATGGTGAAAGGAAGAATATGCAATATGCACATGCAAGGTTAATGAGACAATTGTATGGGAGGAAAGCCTTCCTACCCCCTTCTGGTTCCTGATTGGTGAAGGCAGGCACATGTGCCACAGAGGTCAGAACAGCAGCAGGGGGAGGTACTATATGGAAGAAACCTATTAGTCTAGCCTGGTGAAAAGAAGAGAGTAGTTGGGGGCCAGACCCTTCCAAGCACACAGAAGTTTGGGCTAAGAAAAGCACCTGCTCTGGCCCACAAAGGAAACTAATATAAACTCGGGGGAAGGAAGGGATGGGCTCTGGCCCTCTTGCCTACCTTGAGAACCTACTGGCTGGTGCATCTGAGGGACCTTCTAAGGCCCTTGAAGCCATATGACCAGTCGTGGTGCTGGCCCCACAAATGGGCTCCAAGGAGGGAGCCTGAAGCTGGAGAGCAACTGGGAACAAGGAAGCCACAGCAGCCACTTGTGGTCCCCAGAGGACGGTATTTTAAATGAGAAGAAACTCTGGATGCTGCCGTTGGTTTTGGTCTGGCTAAGAGTGGCTGGGTTTTCCTTTGGGTTTCCAGAGGGCATGAGCTTCTGAGACAAGAGTCTGCCAGTCTCCCAGATTGTGCAGCCATTGAATGAAGACCTCTTTCCTTTCTCACTAACTTCTGGTATTTGCCTATTGGTGACAGTGGGCAGCCAACACCCCGCTTTGGTTCTGTAACTGGATATTTTATTTACCGTTTAAAAATAATGCTTAGAAAGTTAAAAAATTCTGTATCTACCCAAGTATTTCTTTTATTTGGGGCAGTTAGTCCCCACTAGGATTAACTAAATAGTTGTTGGTAGACTGATATCTAAAAAAAATAAAGAAGTATTATTTGTCTTACAGATTCTAACAAGTTATGCACTTAGAAAAGTTTTTCATATAATATATAGAGAAACATTAATAAATTTGTCATGTCTAAAACAAGATTTTTCATTATCTGTTTAATTTAGGGCAATTTCTGAGCAACATAATTTAAGACAAATAAGAGTTTTAAAAACAAACCTATATATTTTTCTACCATTTCCCCTTCTGAAGTGCTGACTAGGCATGAAGCTACAGGTCACATAGATACTGATAAGGAAGTCACCCCTTCTTATTGCCCCGAGTGATAATGATTTAATGTCAGGAAATACAGATATTATGAAAAAAATGACAGCCCTGGAGAATTTTTTTGCATTACATTTTTGCTCTATATCTCAAATCTCACCTCTATGAAATATCCACCTGCTATGATACATTTTACCCTAATTTCTACAGCCTATAATTCGAATGAATAGTGAGAAAAACTTATGAGTAAACCAATAAGCAAATGTTCATAGCAACTTTATTTGTAATAGTCAAACACCAGAAACAACCCAAATAATCCTCGAATGTGTGAGTTGTTTAAAACAAACAAACCAACCAAAAAACTGTGGTGCATCCTTGTACAATTCAGATATAAAAAGGAATGAAGTATTGATATACGCAACTACTTGGATTACAAAAAATTATGCTGAGTTTAAAAAAAAGCCCATCTCAAAGGCTATATCCTATGTTATTCCACTTATATGATACTCTTGATATGACAAAATGATAGACATGGAGACAGATTACAGTGGCAGGAAGATGGCTGGGGACTTAAAAGGGTGGCATGAGGGACCCTTGGCAGTAGTCACAGGAATCTACACATGTGATTAAATTGCACTGAACTAAGTACACATACGTAAGTCCATGTAAAACTGGAATCTGAATAAGGTCAGCAGATGTATCAATGTCAATTCATTGGTTGTGATACTATACTATAGTTATATAAGATGCTAACAATGGAGAAAGTGGGGAAAGGGTATAAGATATCTCTTCGTATTGTTTCTTACAATTACATGTAAATCTATAACAA